ATAAGAGCATCTCCAATGCTTGAATGTATAGTCTTAAAAACATATGCCAAGTGTCTAATAAATAATAGGCTTTCCCATACACATAATAGGAAGTAAAACATTTATTTAGCAACAAATCCTTCACCCACTTGTCCAATAAGTAAAAAATCAATTGTCCTCATGCGGGAGCAACTACAACCTCAAAAAGATAACTTTTCACATCTCATTCAAATTCTCATGCGGCAGGTACAAGGATGATGACCAATAAAATTACAGAGTATGAATGACTTGATTTTTCCTAGACATTGAAGGGGAGAAATCAAATTTCACATGTCAAAATAAGCTTCTTCGAGGATTTGAGAGAACCAAAATTCTTCGATAATTTGAGAATCTTGAGAAGGGAACTTTTTTTTAGAGTTTCTCCAAACCGACCCAAGCGAAGATTTTTTTCGTTTTCCTCTATGTTTTACGGACTTAGCGATTTTTTATCTAGACAGGAAGTGAAGGAGGCTTTCTATACTCGAACATTCACCTTCACACTGTTTAATTTTTTTGTTGCCAGCTCGCCAACACGGAACGTGTGACTACTTGCGTTGGAAACAAAATAAATCTAGATTAGAAAGAACCGCATTGCGATTGCTCTAAAAGAGAGAAGAAGTCAAATATAAAAGCATTTTATGACAGAGGGAAATTTCGTTCTTTTTTGTTTTTTCCAAGGAGTTTTTTAAATATTACTAATACGAGATGTATTGACTAAATATGTTTTTAAATGGACTAGTTCCAATCTCAAATCCGATCAAATCAAATCACATTGCGACAGTTGTAAAGTACACATAAAATAGACATTAATCTTATCAAATCATTTCGGACAAGATTAGATAAGATTAGAAAACTACAAACAGCTAAGACCTTTAATTTAAGAGCATTAGTGTTACTCTATGCAATTACCAACAAGGCAACAAACAATTTTTTAATTGTTATTAGAACATGTAACATGCGTCTCACATTAGTATAACAAATTATAGAATGATTTTTTTATAATAAAAATGTAATTAGAATTGTTATGAGTGTAATAATGCCAAATCCGTGCCAAAAACATTTTGACACGAGTTATTTGACACAAAAATCGGTAAGTCTATGTCAAATTCTGTGCTAATCCCGTATTTTTTTTGTAGTGGAATATATGTAGCCATACCAATAGAACCAATCATTTTGTTGTTACGCAAAATGGTTGTGAAAAGGGATATGTATAAATTATAATGGTGACTATATAAAAGGGCTAATTTCGATTGTCTTGGCATGCAGTTTTACCAGCAGGAGGCAGCTAAACTGCGCCGCCAAATAAGAGAAATACAAATTTCAAATAAGTATGTACTATACTTCAATATCGTAACTTAAACTGATTCACTGGAATACGATTTAATATTTAATTTACCTATCGTTTTAATTAATAATTAAACTGTACTATCTACCTTTATGCTGAGAAAATATTCTTTAATAATTCATTCTTTCATAATTTAATTCTTCTTTCACAATTTAATTCTTTCATTATTTGTTTCTCGCGGTAGGCAAATTGTTGGAGAGTCTTTGGGAACTTTAAATCAAAAGGAGCTTAAGAATCTCGAAGGAAAAGTTGAGAAAGCCATTGGAAGAGTCCGTTCCAAAAAGGTACTACGTGCTATATACTCTTTTATATTTATATAAAATATAATATATTTTAAATAAAAATTCACAATTCAGCACATTTAACCAATTTATGCACTTCAGTCATAATTGCAATAATTTTAGTAAATTGAACAGATTCGGCCAATTCCAATGTCATCAAATGAGCTCTTGAATTGATTGAATCTACCTAAATTGGTCAAATATCGGTTGAATCTATTGAATTGAAGGGAAAAAATAAATTATATTTTATTAAAAGAAAAATTATGAAAAAAGTAGTTAAACTAGCCCTTCTCAGCTAGAAAAATAAGTTAAACCTTACCTTATTTTGATTATTACACAATTTAGCATAAATTGAACATTTGAGTTATCAAACAGAAAAAAGTTTCATGTTTGATAAAAAATTAGACGAGAAGCCTATAAACTAAAAACAGAGGTTTCCAAAGAGATCTAAAGTTTGATATTTCGAATCGGTTTAGCAGATCTATTTATTTTGACTAATTTATATGATTGACAATGGGGGGACGTGCTTGGTTCAAGCCTGATGTGAACATCCAAAATTTTAAAAATAGAATGTAAAAATATTTGTACGGAGTTGACCTAATTACTCCCTCCATCACCAAATTGAAATTATTTTTTAATTAATGATATTTTTTAATTCGAAATTATTTTGAGTATCAAAATTATATCAAAAGTTTCCTTATTTAAAATATTTTTAAAGGTATAAAATCTATAAATTATATACAAATATACGTAGTAGTTATTAATATTATTATCTAAAGTTTGTCATCATTAACCAAGAAAAGTCAATATGATGAACTTTTTCGGGACGAAGGTAGTATATTTTATATATTTTATTTTTATACGGAGTATAATATTTCTTATCTTACCTTCTTTTTGCTAATTTTTGTTATGGAAAGGATTTTTTTTTAATTATTGGATCAAACAACAATATTATTGTGTATGAAATATGTTTGACACACAATTTAAGATAGTGGGTATTGTGTGATGGAGAGTTGCAAATGGGAGAAATGTGTAGGAAATGTTGTGAGTCACAAATTCTTTACAAAAAAGGGAAAATGTAAATTTTAATTGGAACGAACGAAAAAAGAAAGTTGAAAGTTTTAATAGGAACGGAGCGAGTAGTATTTTAACAATAATTGTATTCTGAACACCAAACATGTGGCTGCACTGAAAGATGATTAAACATTTACATTATTCTCTATTAAGCAACATAGAGAATCACTTACCAAACAGGCTCGTCCATTCAATATGGTTCCAAAATATATTCGACTTATTTTTGTTTTGTCTTATATTTCCAGAATGAGTTGGTATTTTCTGAGATAGAACTTATGCAAAAGAGGGTAAGTGGCTCCTCATTTCGTTGCTATCTAATTATATCATATCAAATCAAATTGAATAACGTTTCATATTATGTATAACTTCGATCGATGCTTTTTGTAGGAGATTGAACTCCAAAATGCCAACATGTATCTTCGAGCAAAGGTCTGTTTTTTACCTAGCCAGAACAAAAAAAAAAATCCTTTAAGCAAAGTATGTAATGTCACGACTATACTCATTCTATATCAAAATGTAATTAGATTTCAAATTGACAGGATAGCGTTTACTTTACAATTTTAACCTAGTAAAAAGAATAATCATACGGCTCATAATAAGTAAAAAGTGAAAAAAAAAGTATTAGTAGAGATGATAAAAAATTTAGAGTATGTTTGCAGTTGAATTTTGGAGGAAACGGGAAGGTTGATGGGGGTTATCCTTCATTTTCATGTTTGGAAGTTTAAAAAAATGGAGATGGTGATTTAGGAGAGTTTTTGTAATCTTTCAAAACCCTTGAAATGCTTAATTTTTAAGTTTACTCAATTTGAAGGATCTTGGGATATAATTAAAGAAATAATAATTAAGGTCGATTCAAAGTGAAGATCAATTCAATTATTTGAATTCATTATATTTGAAAGTGATTTTAATTATAAATCCTTTAGAGACTCTTTTCTTCCAAGTTTATTACTCCCACGTACGAAGAAGAGTTTCTTCACCTTCTACTCTCATTCTCATCCAGCAACATACCTTCAAAAGGCTTCCCCTTTCCTTTCCAACAAAACTCCCAAACATACCCTTAAGGAGTTCAAGTTAGATAGATTAATATTTTTGTGATAAATAGAAAAGAGAAGTGTACCTCAAATGGGTTCCAAGAGTATTAACTATTAATGGTTTAACATTATGCAGATATCTGAGATTGAGAGAGCACAACAGCAAATGAATGTGATGGCAGTAGATTCCGAGTACCAGCAGCCACAGCAACCGTACGATGCTCACAGCTTTCTTCCCGTCACTCTCCTCGAACCTAATCAACATTACTCTCGCCACGACCAAACTGCTCTTCAGCTCGTGTATGTATAACGTTACATTCTTGAAAAATCCCACCTTTTATATAACCTTTGCCATTGACTGATGAAGCTCTTTTGAAATATACCACACAGGTAACAACACCCCTGGCAAGAAACTATCAAGACACTTCTATGGTGTGTAATGGATGGTCGTCTACATTGTCTGTTTTCTTGCTTATAGTTCTGTAAAATCTCCTCTATTCGCATTGAACAATTTATTTTCCCATTCATCGGATTCCATCTAACCAGGTGTGTGTGCTTGTGAACTTCAAATGGTACAGAGCTAATGCTCTCTGCTAGTATATATTCAATGAGGTTGTTTCTTTGTTACAACAAGTAGATATGCCTTCTAGATATATTACTCGCTCTGTCACAAAAATAAGACCACATTTTCTATTGCAGTTTTTATTGAAAAATTTAAGTGATCAACATCGGATACTTTCCTGATTCGATTCTAATATATCCACTCAACAGCTTTATTTTTTGGGTGAGTTAAGCCAACGTGTTCCCGGAATCCCAAAACGATTATTTGACCACATTTAAATAGCAATAGGACTTTTCCATCATTTGCAATGGAGCCAAAAATTCATTATTTTTTGGCTTGAGATTATGATGGAATAAAGCAAAATGGCTCACTAAACTGTCTGCGCTTCTTTGTTATGAAGCATCATTCAATCCATGCAATTTTGGACGGATTTTCACTATGGGTCATCCGGAAACAGTCTCTCTGTGCTTTAGTATAGAGGTAATACTGCGTACATCCGACCTCCCCTTACCCCACCGTAGGTGGGAGACTTTGCGGCACTGGGGTAAATGAAAATGAAAATGATTTAAATAACGATAGGAGAGCTAAATGGTGGATTAGAAAAAATTAAAAGTTAAAACAGTTTTGAAAATGAAGAATTGATATTATTTTGGGACAAACAGAATATGAGGAAAAATTACACAAACTGCAGGACAGGAATACCTTCCACCAATATGCAGGCTTTATTTAGAACAAAATATATTTCTTTGGTCGAAGAGGGACCAAAACTATAATACATGGATGGAATGCTATTTATGGAATACTTCATAATGAGATGTAGCTACAGCTAATAATTAGTTAATTACGAAGTAATACATATATGCATCTCCACACACTATGTTGTGAAGGTGAGATCCCTATACAGAATGTATCAGTATTGTCTATTTGTATTATTATCAACACAGCAATCTGAATAGCATGAGCAGAGACTGATGGCAATACCTTCTTCCCCCTGCCTCAGACCAGAGTGAGGAGAGACACTTAAATCACTTTCGTCTTCACCCCACAATCCCACATTCCTTGACAAACTCATTTGAGAAATTTACATATTGGCTCCACAGGCTTCGTAACTCCGGGGCTGCAATCTCAAGCCATGGCTTTGCTGGTCCACTGAAATGTATTACATTTGCAGCTTCCAATTCTGATTCATCAACTTGCTGGACCCGATTACCCAATCCAGCAACATGCCATGAAGGATCTATTGGTTGAACATTACCTTCAAACGCTATTAAAGCGGGTGCAAGTGCTCCCGGACGCCATAATTCAAAACCAGAGTTGAGGTTCTGCATATTAAATCATACAAAGATAACCAAACTTATAGTCTGTTTCCCACACTTTCTTTTTGGCTTCTTTTTCCTTAGAGTGAGATTTTTCAACACAAATCAACTATTATAAAAGTAGTGCACCAGTCACTTATTTTGGTTGATATGGCAGATCAAAATGAATCTTCTTGCAATAGCTTTGGTCTTTATTTTCTTTAATTTTATTTCTTTAAAAATACGTTTTAGTTAACTCAACAATTTTAACCAAATCGACCATTTCATCTACAATCTCAGCAATTTTATCCAATTCAACAATTTTAAGCAATGTGACAGTTAGCTTTGCTCAACCTACTAGGTTAAGGGCCAGTTGAGGCTGAGAGTTTTTAAAGAAGAAGACTTTGGAATGGTTACTTTATATAGGACTATTGAAATTCATCAAATATTAGAAATATAAATATTAATTATGGTATTAGTAATAATATATATATATATATATATATATATATAGAGAGAGAGAGAGAGAGGGACCATATACATATATATATATAGAGAGAGAGGAATGTTCAGGTCCGAACAACGCCCGAACAATCATTTGACTGCGTTTTTCTATGTATAATTTGGCGTAGTCAACTTCAAAAAATCATTTGAAGGCCTTCCCGATCGAATTTTGAGCTGAATTTTTTTGTGAATAAACTATACTTGATGAAGAACATACCATAAAAAATTCATCAAAAAATTCCACCGGGAACCGCCCCGAACGGCGTTGTTCGGACAGTGTTCGGATGGGAAATATTCGGACCTGAACATTCCTCTATATATAGATAGTGTAGACTTCTATTATTTATCATATTCCCCTTCCTAAGCATTGTCATTCCTATATATATTATCTCTTTATTATTAATACAATCAATATAGTTGTTAATTCCATTCAAGAAGTCCTACAATATAACCGATCACTTATTAGATATTTTATACCTTGAATTTATAAAAGCTCAAATGTTTTCAAGATTTAGGCTTTGCCATTCAAAAATTTCCTATCCAAAGTCCTCCGTCCAAATAAAGCCTTAATATCGTGGACCAGCATACTTACATAATGAAGCCATTGATGATAAGTTGCAATAATGTTAGCCTTCCTCCATGCTTGGAGGTCAAAGATGTTCATTCCATAAAGCCACACACAACTATTCTCGTCTAATTTGGATGATGATATGATTGGGTGAGTGAAATTTAAATAGTCCTTATATTTTCTTCCGGGGCAACACCCATATCCACAGGACGAGTCAAATACAGCACCAACAACTTTTCCATTGAGATCTACGTCCCATAGAGGAGATAGGTCATGTTGCACAACAATGTCATCATCCAAAAACACAATCTTGTTCAGATCTGGAAAAAGCTGAAGAAATTGAGTTACTTAATCAATCTGAGTTACTTAATCAATCTTTACTATATAAGACAAAATTATATGTTGAATTGTTCTTTAATTCATATTTGACCAATGTGGAAAACTCTTCAACTATGTCAAGAGAAATAGAAAAACTAATCAATTTTATTGAAAGAATTTCAAAGGTAAAACAAAACAAACAATAAAAAAATTACTAGCATTTTGTTATTTGATAACTCTTCCCTTATCCAAACACACGCTAATTAAGTACCTGAGGGATATATATGTGAAGGTGATTCAGAACAGAAAATGGGTCAACTGTTTTTTTTATTCCATCAAACTTTTGACCCCAAACCAGGCGATGGATCTCTAACATCTGCTTAATCCCAATACTGACACGGTGAGGAAAATCATATTGGTGCAAGCCTTTGACTTCCACAACAGCTGAGCCGATTGGATTAATTGCAAACCATGCATGCATGGCCGTGTAGGTTTTCTTATCAGTCACTACATGAAAGACCATCCTCTCTGGGGACATTGCGCTTTTGATGACAGATGAGATCACAACAGAGGCAGCCAAAACATTGTCTGTGAATAGAACCAGGTGTTGCAAAGAAGCGTCAATAAGGCGGGGAAAATATTCAGGTGACGGTAACCGAGATCGTGCCGTAGCATTCATGGAATATTGTGCAGCCAGCTTTAGAGAAAGGCATTGCATCCACTTGGGTACACCATGAGAAGCCATGTGCCAATAAAAAGACTCATGTTTCTTAATTGATTGAGCAATCTGCTCCATCTTCAATATCTAAATGCAAACAGGTGAAACAGCACATACAATGTTATTATAGGTTATTGATAGTCTTGTAGTATGTCAGTATAGACTACTTTATGATTTTAAAATTTAAGGTTCTATATATCTTAAAAGGTGTGAGATTGTTTGATATCTTGGAACTTGTGTGCTTTTTTCGCAAAATCGATTCTTCATTTCCATTCCCTATTAAAATTTGAGATACAATCCCAAAATGTTAATCAAATCAAAGAATTAATTCAAAAGTTATATGTACTACGACTTAGAGTACGATTAGCAAATCAAGATTGAAGTTTGTGTATTTGCTGTCAAGTCTGAATCGGATCTGGTGCTCATTTATGTTGATCGAATAGACTAGGATACTAACTAGTGTTGGCAAGGCCTTATGTGTTAGTTATATCTTTGTATGTAGTTGGTGTAATTGTGTAAAACCACTTAACATTATGTTGGTTTGTATCTTTATACTTGATCTATGTGGATAGATGGCAAAAAATTGGTGTTAACTGGACTATGGTTAAATGGAAGCTGAAGATAATTATTGAACCAAGTGAAGTAACGCAATGACAGGATAGCTAGAAGGTGATAGTATAATCATCAACTTTATCTATTTACCGTAGCTTTGGCCTTGATAGCAAAAGTCTTGATGTTTTCTTGTCTATTTGGTGACATCTCTTTAACAAGGTCATTGAATGAGGCTGTCACTGAAGTTGAGCCATCCTCCCCTCTAATTCCTTTCACATAACCATCAATGCTTGTGACCTCCAGTAGTGCTCTAGTCAGCTCCTCTCTGAGCTTTTTTAATCATTAGGGAGAACACACATCATTGACTCAAGGATAAGGCAGTCTAATATGGCCTAAAAGTCTATAACAAGTAGATTATGTTTCTATTGCAAGCAATAAAGAGTGGTGGCTAAATATGCATAAATGGTTGAAGTTATGGCTGAATTCACACCACCTGCTGAATTATGATCTATCTTAATCTAAAACACTCCGTATGTACTACATGTTAGTAATTAATTAAATAAAAAGATTTAAATGGTTTTTTTTGGAAAATTCAACATTTCTAAGCCAAAGAAATAAAAATAAAAACTTCAAATACTTACTTTTTTTATTTTTTAACTATTCACTACGCATAGTCAAGAAATTAACGCTTGGTGAAAATCTAGTTGATTATTTTACAAGCTAATAAAAACTAAGGCTATCAAATAGTCACCAAGTTAAACTCTGAATGACATGGACTCTTTTGTCTCATTTTGTTCTTTGTCATGCTAATAAAACTGAAATTCAGTACTTTAAAAGACGAATGGTATAAATAGCATACTTCTTTTCTGAAAATGAAACCGTGAACAGTTTGGAGTTTGGACTATAGGGAAACCAAGAAGAAATATTAGAAAGTATTTTGACACAGAAAAAGTAACAACATAAATATGAGAATTCCTAAGTACTTCAAATTTAGGTAATTAATAAAAGGCATTAAATTGAACTTTAGGAAGACATTCGCAAATATCTTCAAGGCAAAAATAAATGGTACACATAAGGCATACAGACATAAACACATAAAAGTTGCTAAATAGAATTTCTCTACAATATCTAGACATAAACATTGTATTTGAGACTGAATAAAAAACAATTATAAGCTACAGCCCATCCTTTCTCAAAATCTCCCTAATGGCCTTTGTACTACGACTTATCAAAGAATTATATCCTCAAAAAAGCCTACTTTCAGAAGTTGCACACTATGCCTGTCGGCAACCATCTAAAATCTCTTGGATCTTGCCATCCTCTTCCAAGTAATAATCGGAGCTGGTTGCGCTCAAGGACCATTGGGTTTTTCCTTAAAGACGTTTCGGAACGGTCCAATTTTAGAGTATTTTGGTATCATACCCAAATGTGGTCCATTTTTTCAGCCGTTTGTAGCTTAAGTAACCGTTTCGGTCGGAATTTCACTAGTTCAATCAATATAGTAACCCGCGAAATTAAAAATTACCGGATATGAGTTTGGTAAAAATGATAGATATGGTTGATAAGTCGAAAATATGCATAACTAAATAGACCCTTGATTGACTGAAGAGGATGAAGATACGTAGTATGTTTTTTACTTTGTGTATTTTGTAGATAAAATATAGAGTTAATTATCAAAATAGGACTAAAAGTCATTCACTTTTCACAAATAGGACCAAAAAGTAAACTATGTTTGCATAAGACTAATTATGTGTACCTTGGACAATTATACCCTTATAGCTATTAAAATGTTTTAATTCCTAATAAAATAATAAAATAATAAAAAAAAATAATAAAAATTTGTAAAAAATACTAAAAAATTAAGAAAAACATTTCGATATTAAGAATTTAATAAAAAAAAATTTTCAAAAAATTAAAAAAATTAAAAAAAAAATTAAAAAAAATAAAAACTCAAAAAAAAAATCGCCGCCGCCTCTGCCACCTCAGCACCACCACCTCCGGTCACCAGGGGAAAAAAATGTCAAGTTCATTACGAATGCCATATTTATGGCAGAAAAAATGAAAATGTTGGCATTCGAAAAGAGAAATATGCCACTTTTTTGGCATTTTCAGAAAAAAATGGCATTTTTCTGGGAAAATGGCATTTTTTCATCGGCCGGAGGTGGTGGTGCTGGGAGGTAGTACAGGCGGTGGGAAAGGCATCCATATTTTTTTAAATTTTTTTTACGGAGTTTTACTATTTTTTATTAATTTTTTTTAAAATAAAATTATTTTAAAAAAAAAAGTTTTTGAATTTTTTATTTTATAAAAATTTTATAAATTTTTTAATTTTATTTCTACGAATTTTTGAATTTTTTTCGAATTTATTATGAATTAAACATTTAATTATGGCTTTTGACTATTTTTAATTCATATTTAATGGAAGGGTAAGAATGGAATGCAAAAATAGGTATGTTTCCAATAGGACTCATATGGTCCTATTTTGGAATAAAAACATAGCAAATCCTATTTTAGGTTTTTGACATAGTTTTAGTCCTATTTGAACTAATTTCTATAAAATATACTCCTTTCATCCCTTAAAACTTTGTCAAGTTTAAGTGTTTAACTGACATGAGAATTAATAAAGTAAAAACTTATGTGGCTGAAATTTGTGCATAAGAAAAAAAATTAATCGAAACCACAAACTCTTTACTTAAAAAGAAAAATGATAAAATTAATGAGACATCCAAACAAACCAAACAAAGAAAATTGACATTCGAAAGGAGAAAGGAAGTATTTTAACAAAAAGTTATTACGGAATAAATAAACACAAAAAGAATCAAGTGCCCCAAGCATACAATACATACAAAAGCATGTGAAAGGGAGAGACCGAGTGTGCTCTTGCCGGGTGATGATGCCATTACTTCCAGTTTCACGTGGTAGTTTTAGTCCAACACTCCAACACACGTCGTCTAATTATCACTTGTTTGTACTCGACCCACATTAATTGAAATTTGATACTCCATAATATTTTATACTCCATATATAATAATTTTATTAAATAGTCCCGCTTCCAAAACATCCTGACATTTTGACTTCACAATTTTTAAGAAAATAAATTTGACTTTACTGTAGAGTAAACTGTTTGACACTGTTTGAAACTGTTTTATGTAGATTTATTTGCCAAATAAGGCAAATAAGGAAGTGTAAAGATCTGGTACTGCTAAAAATGGAAAGTGTAAAGATCTTTCAGAACCTGAGAGAGTATATTAATAGAAAATCGTGGTCATAAAAAGATAAATAGTACTATAGTATAAAAAAACATAATGATGCAAAAGATAGGTACTTAGTTCATACTTAAAAGAGAAAAAAAAATATAAAAACGCATCAGCTTTTGAAATAAAACATTTTATGTGTCATATTCCTGCCATCGTATAAGACAAATCAACCAAACCAAATACTTAGTCGGCAGCTTCAAGGACAGAGACAATGAGCGGCAATTTTTATGATAAAAACTGCTCATATTCGTTCCTATTAAAATTTTCAACTTTACTTTTTCGTTTGTTCCAATTAAAACTTTCATTTTTCCTTTTTAATAAAGAATTTGTGGTTCACAACATTTCTTACACATTTCTCTCTCTTCTGCACAACTCTCTATCACACAATACTCACTATCTTAAATTGTGTGTCAAATCTATTTGGAAGATAAAATAGAAAGGGACTGAGTACTCCGTATTTCATGTCTCATACTTTTCTCCATTTACTCGTAACTGTATTAACAAATACTCCCTAATCCGCATGGAATTAAAATACGGAGTAATAAGTTTAAATGTGTTTCCCAGGCTGTATTGGTTGAATTGACAATTAAATGATAAGTTATACTCCGTATAATTTATTTACATTATTCATAGTGTGTATTTTAAATACAAGGGAAAACTGTCAAATAGGTCCTCGAACTTTCATAAAAAAGTCAATTAAGTCCTTCTATAGTAAACTTTGTCCGGTCGTCGCAATTTGGGGAGGTTCTCGATGGAATTTTTTGATGAAAATTTTTGAGCATCTTATTCATCAAGTCTAGTTTACTCATACCGAATTTCATCTAAAAATTTAATCGGGAGCGTATTCAAATTAATTCGAGAACGCAAAAATGCGCAGTGATCTTCAAGAATTAATTTGAATATGTTCGCGATTGAATTTTTAGCTGAAATTTGGTATGAGTAAACTAGATTTGGTGAATATGATGTTCAAAAAAATTCATCAAAAAGTTCAACCGGAAACTGCCCCAAATCGCGATGGCCGGATGGAACCTCCTTTAGAAGGACTTAATTGACCTTTTTATGAAAGTTTGGGGATCTATTTGACAGATTTCCCTAAATACAAGTGTAAGTTTTTACTAATCCATTACTATTTTTAAATATAATGAATTTAATACGAGTAGTAAACATATCTCATGATAGAAAGATCTTTAAAGAACATTTTCCTACAGAGCATAAGCATTTAACAAGAGAATTTAGTAATATAAATAGAGGTTTTTCTAGATATAAACATAAATATCACATTTCTTAAATAAAATCATCAATGTTTTATTGTCATGATTGGATTTATTCATTCTCTCAAAATGAAGATTTTATTATTAAATAATTCATGTTTTGAAAATTGAAGTATTTTTTGGATGTAAAATTAAAGTACTCCCTCCGTTTCATTCTCTCAAAATGAAGATTTTATCATATGGCACTGAGTAGCATATGATGTGATTTTTTATAAGCGAATTCATTAATTTTTACTTTAATGTAAGAAATTGTTTCAAGTAAGAGTAAAACATACTTCCTCCGTTTCTGAAACAAGTTCCACATTTGACTTCACACATATTAAGAAAATAAATTTGACTTTACTGTGGAGTGCACTGTTTGGCACTGTTTTAACACTGTTTGACACTGTTTGACACTGTTTTGATGTAGATAATTTGCCAAATAAGGAAATGTTTGAAAGTGGAATTTAATTTTGAATCTGCCCGAAAAGGAAAGGTGAAACTTGTTTCAGAAACGGAGGAAGTATGTTTTACTCTTACTTGAAACAATTTCTTACATTAAAGTAAAAATTAATGAATTCGCTTATAAAAAATCACATCATATGCTACTCAGTGCCATATGATATTTAATGACAACAGTACATGATTATGACATAAAGTTTGATGAAAAGGGCTTATTATTTGTTTGCATTTTATACCATGAGTTTTAAAATAGTAAAACCATTTAAAGACCAAATGAGCAGTATCAAAATTTTAATTAGAAGACCAAAAACGCTATGAAAACAAAAAAGTACAAAAAATATACCGTATGATAAATAATGTGCATATCTATTGTACAAGGTATCTAGTTACGAGTATTTATTTATTTTTACATTATTACATTTTCCTGTATTAAGCTTTTACTTTTTACTTCAAAGTTAGGGGTGTGAAAGATAGTTTCAAAAGGAATCGCGCCGACAAGTGTATAAAAAATGAGTAATATCATTTTGAAATAAGTAGTACTCCGTAAAGTGCAAATAACCCTATTACAGGAGGTTCTGTCCGGCCGTCGTCATTTGAGACGGTTTTCGGTGGAATTTTGTGATGAATTTTTTTGAGCATCTTCTTCATTAAATCTAATTTATTTATACCAAATTTCAGCTAAAAATCTATCAAAAAATTCCACCGGAAACTGCCCAAATGACAACGGCTGGACAGAGTCTCCTATAAAAGGGGTGATTTGCACTTTTTTGATTAGTCAGAGAATTACGTATTATGAAATATCAAGAGAAATAATAATATTACCAGAGCCGAATCACCCCCGCTGGACAATCTCCATCCAAGACATCCTGCAGAATTATTCAGGAAAATGTTTTAAGGAATAATTTTTTCTGCAGGAACTAACACTGTAACTGCTCTGTAGTTTGATTTAAGAATACTAATTTACAGAGTATTATAGAGTGCAATTTATTTATCTTTTAAACCTCAGTAAAATTTGTAAATGGGAAATGTGACGACGAGGGAGTAGTAAATAACTGAAAGTTTGAAGCATTGAAATCATAAAAAAAAAGGGAAAGAAAGAAAGTTACCAAGAGATGTGCAAATAACAGTGGATTCATGAACGAGTAAAGCGATTCTGAGTAAGAACAGGAAGAATAGTAAACCAAGCGTTAAAACTGCCGAAAATGTCACCGTTTTGTTATGTATCCGCCGACTGATAAGCGGCGATCCTTTCCCCTTCATCCCGTCGGCGACAACTTCTCCGTCTCCAATCGGAACTCGAAATCGAGATAACTTTCTTAATCCTCGTCGCCGATGTGTAAACCTTCATTACCTCTCAGAAATTGATCTATTTTTGTCTCCATCCGAGCGACTCTCATCAGATTTCACCTGCACTTTCAGATCCCCAGTTCACTATGTACAGTTTATACACACAAATTCGGATCGAAATTCAAAACATTTCAGTTGGAAACTAGCTCCTGAATTACAGCTCTATCTCTGTAGAATCGAATCGAGAAGTTTAATGACGAGATCGAGTTTTGGGTATATAGCGAAGTATTTGTAGAGAAAGCAATCGCGGAAAGAGAGAATGTGATCACGCACTTTGAGTTCCGGAATTTCCGTAATAAACAAACACTGTATTTCTCTAGTTCTCCACCTCCCTGTATGTGTATAGGAAGGAACTGTGGATTTTTTTTTTTACTCCGTATTTATTTAGCCGAAATTCACCAACTTATGCCGCGTTAAATGCCGCTGGATTTAGATTGGTCGTCGGAATAACCGAGCACGTTCTTTTTCATATGGTTAGATCCTCTTTAAAATTTTCTACTCTAATTTGACAAGTATTGACGGGTAATTATTAAAAGTTGTAAACATTTGAGAAGACTTTTTTGACTAGAAAATACGTAGCGAGTATAAAACTACTCATTTGATAGAATATATTGTTAGAGAAAATTGGTCTTTGTAAGACTAAATCAATGTAACTTTACAAAAATAGAATTTGATCATGTTTTTTCTGTCCGTGTGATTTACTTAATTCTATTTTAGGAATCTCTATTTTTTCCTTCCAATTTTACCCTAAAGCAATTCCGCTTAGATATCACGCTAGCTTCACCAAAACTGCTCTCTTCTTCACCAAACCCTTCCATATTTGGCAGCCCTGTTTTTTCTTCATCTCAGCCGCCTGCAACTTTATCCACCTCCTCCGCCCGCAACTTTATCCACCCCCGCCGTCCGTTACTTTCTCCACCTCCTCCGCCCGCTACTTTCTCCACCTCCGCCGCCCCAAATCTTCCTCCAGCTCCTCCGGCTCTGTTCGTCGCTTCCACCTTTAACGCCGCCTTCTTGCAGCGATTCCAGCGAAGACGTAGGTGCGACGATTCCGGCAAAGATGGAGGTGCGACGAAGAAGAGAGATGCGGCGTACGGTGAAGAAGAGAGCTGCGACGTCTGACGAAGAAGTGAGAGGTCGACGAGGAAGCGAAACGGCAGATCCGAAGTTGCAAAGGAAGAAGACGAGAGGCGTGAGCTGATACGCAATCCAGATTCCAGAATTAGGGCGGCGGCGCACTAGACCCTTCTTATTCTCCCCTCTCCTTGCGGGTCGGAGCATTAGAGTGATTGCTTTTCAGAATTTATTGTTTATTTATTGACTACTTATTGTCTATTTATTGTCTATTTAATGTCTGCTATTTTCTAAAAGTAAGGGTATTGTGGTCAATGCAGGTGTAGTTGAGTCTTACGCTAATCTTGGGTCTTAGTTTTGGAAAATCAGTAGGTTTTACTCCTACTTGTTGAAATCTCCCTATATTGTTACAATCCTCGAATGATTTAAATGTCTAAATCACTATTTTTTAGAAAACTGGATTTTTGAATTAAAGCGGCCTAGTCCATCTGGTATGGTTTGAGAACTTCCGCCGTAAGAGTGCGGATACGGCAGACAAGGATGGAAAGCAGATCGGCACCAAGGAGCTCGGCGGGTCGGACGGACGTTCAGGGGGAAGGCGGAGAAGTCTCTCAGGCGATGAAGGAAGCTTCTGAAGAGGAAGGGGAGGTTTTGGCGGCGGCAGTTGCAGGGAAAAGCGTGGATAGGCTAACCGCCCAATACGACGGCCTGGGGATAGGGAGCATCGGGGATGAGCTGCTACTGGATGATGAGGACATCGAGGAAGAAGACACCGACGCGACGAATAAGGGTGTGGAGGATTTTCTCGTGGTCGGTACGATTCTCACCGACAAAGTGGTAAAATTCTCAATTTTTCGTGATCTAATGGTGTCTCTCTGGCACCCAGGTAAAGGAGTGTTGATTCAGGAGATTGGGAAAAGGAGGTATTTATTTACTTTTTACCACAAAATTGATATGAATTGTGTGCTAGATAATGGTCCTTGGTTGTTCGACCAGAACTAGCTAGTGTTAAAAGCTAATAAACAGAGTGATATGCCTCAGAAAATACCTCTAGATACGGCTGACTTTTGGTTTCAGGTTCATAATATTCCATATGGCTTTTCAAACCTGAGATATGCTCGTAAGATAGGGAACTACCTCGGAATTTTTTTATCCTGGGATGATAGACAGATTGATGAAAAATGGGAAGTCTATATGAGAATCAGGGTTACATTGGGTGTGAGGAGACCTTTAAAAGTGGGTATTACTTTGAAAAAGAGTAGAGGAGAAGGGTATTGGGTAGATTTCAAATATGAAAAACTGTCTAGTTTCTGCTTTGCTTGTGGTGTCATTGGACACGCTGAGAAATTCTGTCCATCTCTGTATGATAAAGGTGACGAAGAGTCTGTGCGACTCTATGGCTCATGGCTTCGGGCGGGAGGAGGGAGGTCCCGCCCAACTATTGGCAATAAATGGCTAGTATGTGAGAAAGGGATATGACGGGACCAAGCAAGGACGCATATAAGCGCCATTGGCTGTCAGAATCAGGGACAACACAATCTGGGTAACCAGAAACAGGAAGATGGAGATGCCTCTAAGATTGCGGAAGCAATGGTTAGTATAAGTGGAACCGGAGAACAAAAGTGGAGGCGGACATGGGAAGCTAAGGAACAAGAGCTGAAGCAGCTAGGAGAGGATCCATGGTTCTGGAAGATCCAAAAAAATTGATGGAGGCGGGCTGGAATTCCCAGACTCGCCAAAATCTGTGAAGCTATGGATCACATGGAGATTTAAAATTTCTATTACTTTTAATTATGTTTTTATTTTTATTGTTATTCGCGCTGGACATCGCGTGCTTTTGGTTGTTGTTGCTGTTTGTTTTATCAAGACTCTAGAACATATGACATGGGATGGAGAACTTAGTTTACTAGTCATTGGCTCAAGTAAGCTCAATTCAGGATCAACGAATCTGGTTGCTTCGTTAGAGGTGACAGACTCTAAATCTGATTCAAGGGCAGACGGTAGACATTGGGTTCTTTGTGAGTTTGTACTCTGTTTCCGTTCTCTTTTATTAATATACGCCACCTGCTTCCAAAAAAAGTCTAAATCACTTGTTCAGTGGGAACGAGGCCCTACACCGAGACCATACAGGCGGCTATATGGGGAGTTAGCCAACGCAAATGCCTTGGACCTCACATTTTAGTGGGTCTCAAAAAATTATTTATAGTATCATCATTACCTCAGTGTCGCAAAAGCTCCAACCTATAGTAGGGTAAGGGGGGTCGGATGTACGCAGTCTTACCCCTGTACTAAAGCTTAGAGAGACTATTTATGGATGACCCATAGTGAAAATCGCGTCCAAAATTACATGGACTGGCTGCTATTTCATAACAAAGAAGTGCAGACAGTTTAGTGAGCCATTTAACTTTATTCCATCATATTCTCAATCCAAAAAATAGTGATTTTTTGGCTCCATTACAAATGATGGAAAAGATAGTATAAAATATCTATTTTAATTTTAGTAGTTCCAAAACAAAGATATCATGTTTTTTATATATTGGTAGCCCAAAGATAGATAAAGTGATTTTACCTCTACCCGCACTGGTAGCTCAGTTGGTCGAGTGGTGGGAAAATTGGACCAAGTGACCAAGGTTCGAAACCCGCAGCGGCCGTGTGGAGGTTACACAACCTGAAATAAGGCTGGACCTCTGGTGCGCACGTGTATAAGGTCTACCGTCGCTTTGCTGACTGAGTCACCGTGATTAACCTCCTCACCATCTTGTCGGGTCAGGGTGAGGGGGCTCCTGGGGTGGGAGATTCCACCTTTTGGACCAATTGATTTTAGCTCTAATTAAATGACAGGCTCGTAGCAACTAGCCACCATATTAATGAATTATTGAAGTAATGTTTAATTAATTTGATGGACGTAGTTATTTAGTTGTTTTTTTATTTTCACTGATTATTATTGTATTTGTGAACTTTAGATTTTTGTTGACTGCTTTATATTTTTATCTTTTTGTAAGTATATTACTGGGGCAAACAAAAATCAAGATCTGTAGGGATTTAAAATTTAGATGTACTATTAAGATTGTCTCATATCAAATTTAGTAAAGTTTGTGTGACTTTAAATCAAAAAACAATCTTACTTTATTTTTACTTTATCATCAATTCAATATCAAAATCTTTTGGGAATAAGGCTTGGATGTTGTTGTTGATGATGGTTATATTTGTTGAAAAAATGTGTTAAAAATTGCATTAAATGATGATTTTGGGGCAATATTTTGAGTGGGGTTGACGAGCACTTTGTCACGGTGCGTCAAAATAAATTGATACTAACACTTATACGTAGTATAGGTGAAGTAGAGTTCGTATCCAAAGGGAAAGGAATAATTCTCTTTTTATGAAACTTAGTAAATAAAGGGGGGTTTTGGTGATGAATGATTTAATTAAATTCAAAACTAAGATGAACGACTTATATGAGATTTAATTCAAAGATAAAAAGGACTTGGCATTGCTAATTTCCACTTTTTGATTTACTTTAGTTGATCATTGTTATATCTATAACTTATTCCCTCTCGAATACTCAATAGGGGAGTATATCCACTTCATCGAGGGTAGTTATTAACAACGACCGTTCATTAATAACCCTTACTGTTTAATCAAATATAGAACAACGCCTTATACCGATTTAATATAGTAGCATTTAATCTTTCTAACTCCTTGATGAAATCAATTGAGATTGATAACCTCAACACAACGGTTTCGGTTTAACCAACAAAATTAATCCCTCTTAAGTTTATTAACCACGACCGTGCATTAATAAACTGAAGTTACTTACTTGTGAAACCATCAACGATTAACCATCGGTTCGTTGATCATTTCTAGTAATAATTAATATATGAAACAAACTAATTGATCCTTTAAGTAATATTCAAAATATTAATATGAAATATGAATAGGAATTAATTAATATTCAAGGAAGAATATTATTAAAGAAGATGAATCCTACTATAATTAATATCAAGATGTTAACTAATTGTCATCTTAGCAACACTCCCCAACATTAATATAGAGGAAGAAAATACTACTATAACTAATGTCAAGATGTTAGCTAATTGTCATCTTAGCAACACTCCCTAACATTAATATAGAGATAGTATTAAGGAAAGAACTAATAATTAATATTCAAGGGAAGAAGTTTAAGAAAATAACTCACAACTTTAATAATCAACAAGCTTCAAGAGCAACACCAAGAAATGGAAGTTTATCTCCTCATTTGGAGACTAAACATAGCTAGAAAAATATAAAGAAATGTTATTCTAAATTGAGCTTAGGAGTATGGAAGAGGTGATGATTAAAAGTGAAGGAAAAGTGTGCTATTTATAGGTG